ATCCCAGCCCTGGCAACTTGAGGAACATGCCAGACTCGTGTGTGTGCTTGCCCCAAATCCTAGCAGGTTGGAGAAATGGAGGAAAAGGGATCAATTGTAGCATGATGAAGCCCATTGAAGAGTGCTTTCTCCCTGTTCTCTGTTTCTCCTGCAATTTTAAGTGGCCTCTAGGAAATTAAAAAAATTTTTTTTTTTTTTTTTTTAGTTTTGTGAAATCCTCTATCACACTGACATCATTCCTCTGATTTTGTCATAGGATATAACAAAGTTTATCATGGAAGAGTACTAATTCATCACATTTGGCTACATGTCTGACTATACACTACCTTCCTTTCCCTGGTCCTTGGGGTCTCCGAGTGATACTATTATTTTTTCATAACACCAACATGATGCCTGGTGCATAATGGATTCTTAATAAATATTGTAGGAAGAAAGGGGGAAAGACTATCACTTGGTATTACCAAGCAATTCTTGTTTACAGATTCCTCATTAAATTGGAGATTCCATTTCACACTTTTCAGTGTCCTGAATATTCCTTAGTGGTAACTGCTGACAACCTCTCTTTTTCCTTAAACTCAAGGGCAAGCACAAAGACCCAAGTTCCTCTTAGTCTTCTCAAAATAAAATTAAGGATTGTAGAAGGGATCCTCATACACAGGTAATGATTTATTAGTTTATAGAGGTCATGAAACTAATCTTAATAAATCTTAACTTCTGTTATCAGAAATCATGAGTATGTGAAAGAGAATTATGTTCTTCTAGAGATTCTGGTGGCTAGCCAAAAAAAATTTTTTTAAGAAGTCATTATTCCTTCTTACATTATTCCCACCTCATGTATTTTATTTAAGGGACAGTTATCTGCCTACTGTGTTGATTACTATGCAAATTTCCCAAGAAGCAAAACATTTTGGCATACATTTAACTCTATTGGAACTTGAAACGTATCTTAGGGTGCATATTCAACAACTAATATTTGTGTGCAAATGAAACTGATAAAACTATGCAGATATATCATCATGTTGTAGGATTCAGCAGTTTAGAGAAGGGTTATTTCTGAAAAAACAAAAGGTGAAATTGTTCTTAATTTATTTCAGGAAGTGTACTTCTTGGTTACTTGATATAAAATGATATGTGCTTGCTTTTTATCTTTCAAGAGAATACAGTAGAGTATCCTTCCCTCCACCTTTTTTAATCTTGGGAAGGCTTCCTAAATTAAATGTCAAAATACTTCTTATTCAGGGTGAAAGTCCAACTGAAAGATCTATTTTAAAACTCTTCAGAGCCTTCCCCCTTTATCTAGTTTAGTATCTTGAGGAGTGTTTTTCAACATAAATTTTCAGTCTGATATTTCAGTTGGTGATTTGTGAGAAGTTAGTATCCTAGCTAAATTTGAATGCCCACAAAGGCAACAAAATCCTGTTAAGAAAATCCTGTTCAAAATGTACCATGCTGTTGTAAGTCTGGAAGAAGTACTTGAACACTTGCCACTTTGGGTAGCTATTTTCGAGATACGTATGAAAAATGTAACAGAAAAAAAAATGTAACAGAATAAACCGTATGTTCTCCTAATAAATACTGAGTAGTGTCCCTTCCAATGACAGAGTTTTCATTGCATCTCCCTAAGGTAAACTTTATTCTTCTTTTACTTTTGTCTAAAGTAAAATTTAGGCCTAACAAAAATGACAGAAGATCAAGTCCTTATGTCTAGGACTATGGATAACATTTTTTTGTAATTTCTGTATATATTATTCTATTAATGATTGTTTTTGTGAAAAAAATTCACTTTCAGGTTGAATAAATATTTTTGATACATGGGGTAATTTTTAAAGAATTATTTTATTTTTTAAAATTTATTTTATTGTTAGTTTTTAGTTTGACCAGAGAGAGAGAAAGTCAGAAAGCAAGCCCCCAGGTCTGGGACTTGTACTGTGGTCGGCCATGTGGGAGTCTAGCACCTCAACCACCATGCTACCTGTTGGTCCACCACAGGATAATATTTTGAAGCTCCTAATTTTCTCCTTCTGCTTTTTAAATTTTAAATTAAAGCAATACAATTTTCTCTTATAACAGAAACTAAGGTTTGATAGAAAAGTGGATTTTGTAATAAATTGGATTATAAAAACAGGAAAGTTTCATGTTTCTATTATGCTCCATGGTATATGTTTTCCTAATGTTTTATCTTTCTTCTAGCTCACTATTTTACTCAATAGAGTTTTTGTTTTGTATTGTTTCTTTTTTAAGTTTAAGCTTTTAAAGCTAATAAACAACACATATCTCCTTCTCTGTGTGATGGGGGATGCCTTAAAAAGGGTCTAGTGCCAGCCAGTGGCGTGGTGGTTAAGGCCATAGAATCCCACATGGCTGAGAGCACAGTACAGATCCCAGGCCTGGTGGCTTGAAAAGCACATTGGATTTGTGTGCATGAGTGCCCAAAATGCCAAGAGGAGGATGGATGGGAAGAGATTGTGGATGGACATCTCCCCGAGGGGAGCATTCTCACTTTCCCTCTGTCTCCCTGTCTGTCTGTCTTTGTCCAGTGAGCACATGCGCCCTATCACAAACTTTCTAAAAAGGGAGGGAGCAAAGTTACATTCGTTTGTGGGACTGGTTAAGTAGTGACCTTAATATTTTACTGGTTTATTTCTGAATTGTGTTTAAGGTGGCTTAAGTTCTTATAATTGCATTTTGAGAGTTAAAAGATAAGTTGGGAATAAAAGCAACAGGGTTAAATATTATATATTAATTTATTCTTTGCATTTTACATAATCATTTTTTAGAGAGATTTTTGCTATAGGACGTGTGCACTCACCAGAGACAGAGAAAGACATAGAGACAGAAAGTGAAAAATCTTTCTCCCCCACCCCTGGGGGGATGGCCATGCTGCAATCCCTTCTCTATTCTCCTCTCAGGATCTTGGGCATGCATGCACATGTGCCTGGGGTGAGTTTTAAGCCACTGGGTTTGGGACTCAAACTACAGTCAGCTATGTGGGAGTCCAGTGACATAACCATTATGCTATCTGCTGATCCCATCACATATTTTTTTTTTTATTGCAAGTGTATATATTATACTAAATAGTCCTTGTTTAAATTATTGTAAAAACTTACAACATTAATAATGATATTGACTAGTGATCAAATGTAAAAAGAAATAGAAAATTTTAAAGTTTATTTGAAGGGTAAACCTTTTTTGGTTGTTAGTTGAATCATTTTACTAAAGGATAGTATTGAACAGCTTATTTTAGAATTTGATAGATTATTGGAACCAGCAGATGGCGGAATTGTTGTCGCTGGACTCCCATGTAGCCGACTGCAGTTTGAATCCCAGAGCTGGTGGCTTAAAAAATCATGAATTGTGTTTAAGGTGGCTTAAGTTCTTATAATTGCATTTTGAGAGTTAAAAGATAAGTTGGGAATAAAAGCAACAGGGTTAAATATTATATATTAATTTATTCTTTGCATTTTACATAATCATTTTTTAGAGAGATTTTTGCTATAGGACGTGTGCACTCACCAGAGACAGAGAAAGACATAGAGACAGAAAGTGAAAAATCTTTCTCCCCCACCCCTGGGGGGATGGCCATGCTGCAATCCCTTCTCTATTCTCCTCTCAGGATCTTGGGCATGCATGCACATGTGCCTGGGGTGAGTTTTAAGCCACTGGGTTTGGGACTCAAACTACAGTCAGCTATGTGGGAGTCCAGTGACATAACCATTATGCTATCTGCTGATCCCATCACATATTTTTTTTTTTATTGCAAGTGTATATATTATACTAAATAGTCCTTGTTTAAATTATTGTAAAAACTTACAACATTAATAATGATATTGACTAGTGATCAAATGTAAAAAGAAATAGAAAATTTTAAAGTTTATTTGAAGGGTAAACCTTTTTTGGTTGTTAGTTGAATCATTTTACTAAAGGATAGTATTGAACAGCTTATTTTAGAATTTGATAGATTATTGGAACCAGCAGATGGCGGAATTGTTGTCGCTGGACTCCCATGTAGCCGACTGCAGTTTGAATCCCAGAGCTGGTGGCTTAAAAAATCATGCTGGACACATGTGCTTGCATGCCCAAAATCCCAAGAGGAGACTGGAGGAGAAGGGACTGCAGAGTGGCCATCACCCCAGGGGGATGATTTCTTGCTTTCTGTCTCTCTGTCTCTCCGGTGAGCACATGCCCCCTATAGCAAAAGTCTCTCTTAGAATTTGATAGATTATTATTCTATGAACAAAATGTAGTTTATAGTACAAATATTAAAATAAGTGTTTCATTTTTTCCTGTGCTGAGGTAGGATCATGAAAAATCATAACAAAAGAGATAAGACACCTCCAAACAACATCTGAAACATGCCACAAAGGGCAGCATTCATTCAGAACCAAGTTTCTCTTTCATAGAGGTGGGCTACATTGAGAGAGCATAACATTTGCCTAATTGTTCTTAAGCATGTATAAACTCTAGAAATTATTCCAAAATATACTTCAGAACTATTTACAGTCAAATCATTAAGTGTCTGTCCATTCCATGGCCTGTCTCTCTCTATTTTAAAATGGTCTTTATTTGAATATGATGGTGTTATGGAGGAAGTAGTCGATCTAGCAACACTTTGTTAGTAATCAGTTGGTGTTATTGTATATTCTTGAGTCTAGTCAACATTTATTTCCTTTCTACATATTCATTCCTTCTGCCTACTCTTCTGTATTAATGAAATTTCTACCTACTATTATAAAATGATCCTAATAATATTAAAAGCTAATATACCTTATCCACTAAAATAAAAAATTTAAAGACAAATGTTTAAATGATTCTGAAAAATGGATAATCCACCTTCCGTTAGAACCTCTTCAAAAGTCCTTGTCTCTGATTGCTCTAAAAGCAAAAGGAAATTCAGGATCTCCTTCAACTGATGCTGACTGACTGAAAGTACATTTTATGGGAGAATTGGACATGATTTCAGTCTCTATTTCTGATCAACTTGCTTTTGCCTTCTTTCCTAGGAAGTGTGTAGAGAGCTCTGGTGCCTCAGCAAAAGCAACCGCTGTGTCACCAACAGTATTCCAGCAGCTGAAGGGACACTGTGTCAAACTGGGAATATTGAAAAGGGGGTAAGTTCAAATGATTTACTAGGTGTTTGACATGTAGACTAGACTGATAATTTTCTGTTGCTGATATTCAAACCACTAGTAAATACTCTATATTAATTAAAATATACTTTAAAGTATCGTATTCCTAGTCTAGTGGGTTAATTGTCATATCTTGATATCTGCACATAGACATTGTTTAGGAAATTTCTGTGAATAACAATTTTCTCAGTCAGTTTTACTTATCTGTTCATATATATATATATATATATATATATATACACATATATATATACATACATATATATATATATATGAGTTATATTCTTACCAAGAAATAAGTCCAACATCACTCTTGTAGTCATTTATTATAACACAGTCTAATTCAAGTCTAGTTTTTTTTTTTTTGGTAAATGATTCCTAGGAAAATTATGTGACCCCAAAATAGACTTTATAACTATAGTCTAATTGAAGTCACTTGACAATTACAGTATGAGAGAAGGTACTGATAGTAGAAGAATAACTGAACAATTTATTAAGCATAGAAATTAGTGCTAAATAATTTGTTGTATCGGTTTAGTTTTCCAAATTAACATTATAAATAGTTCAAACAGATGGTACTAGCTCTATGCTACTTCTGAAACTTTATAAGAATTACTGTATAAGTAAATTCTAGAATTTATTGTTAGAAATTGAATTCACAATAATAACTACTACTGTCATCTGTTCTCAGTTCCGACTTCTTCCACGTTAGCTGGGTTGTTTCAACAAAGATTACACTGAATTTCAGCTTGCAATCTGATGTTTGAATAAAGAGAATGAAAGCTTTTGGGCAGCTGTCACAGTTTATTAATCCTTGCTGACGGCTTCATTTAGGACCTATGACCCAGTACCATGTTGATGGCTTTTCCATGCTGAGTTTGGAAAAGTTGGTAAATTGTGCTAAATGTATTAATCGATTGGGTCATTTTTAAAGGATTAAGGGTGTTTTTTTGGTTCAGATTTTGTAAGTAGCCAACAAAAATACAGAGAAATTTACACACTACCAAAAATTCCCTGTTTTTTTTTTTTTCACTGAAGAAATAGAAAACATTAGGAACCACATTCTTGAAACAATAGTTGAGGTTTATTTTGGAACCAACAATTCTTGTCCGTGACAAGTAACAATTTCCATCAACCTGTACTTAGAAGAAATATATGACTGCAAAGCAAGGGAAGTTGTAATGAAAATCTGTTTCTTTATTTGCCATTGATTGATTATTCTTATGATCTAGTCCATGGGCCACAGTTCCTATTTGCCTGGAATAATACTATCAGTTCACTGATGGCTTTTATTTTTAATTGCCAGAGTGGTGTGTTCTTGCTGGAGTCAGAGAGACAGAGAAAGAAAGAGAGAAACAACTCCCAATGCAGTATGGTCACCCCGTAATCTCTTGTCCTCAATTTGGCTAACCCATTGTGGTATGGAGGACACATGCACGCATCTGGCATGTTTTTTAAATCCCTGGGGCTTGAATCACATGCTGGTCAGCCACATGGAATCTGGTTCCCTTAACCACTCGACTATGGGGCCACCCCATGACTCCTTTTGTTTTGTTTTATTTTTTAAACCAAAAGCATAAAGAATTTGTTCTTTCAAGTACCTCAGAGCCCTCCAAGAAGCATTGTATAAATTATGTAATAATTCCAAATAAATGAACCACAAATAGCAGCTGCTGGAGAACTCACAGCTCCATTCCACCAACCATTTATATAGTAAATGTATTTAACATATTATCATTTATGCTTAACAGAGGGTCCTGATATGTCATATCTTCGAGGTATATGCATTTAGATGAGAAAAAAATACGTATTTCTTGGAAATTATGAACTATTTTAAGGCATACTTAGGAAATACTTTCAAATAATATTGATGCCATTAGTGTTGAATTTAAACATAGTTAAGCAAGTAGAGGGGAAACATAATTACTTTTAAGCATAGATAAGAATAAGCACAAAGTGGGCCAGGAGGTGCTGTAGTGGTGAAGGCACTGGATCCCATGAGGCTGACATCGCAGTCCTAGTCCCAGATCCAACATCTTGAAAAACACACCAGACACATGTGCAACAAGCATGCCCAAAATCTCAAGAAGAGAAGGGATTGCAGTGTGGCCAACCATCCTAGGAGATGTTTCCTCACTTCCCTCTCTCTGTCTCTTTGGCGAGTATGTACACCCTATGGCAACAATCTAAAGAAAGGAAGAAGCACAGACAGGAGAAAGTCAGTAAAATGGAACAAAAATAGGTTTGATTTCTATAGATTCACATTTTTTTTTGAAAGAGATTTTCATTATAGGGTGCGTGTGCTCGCCAGACAGACAGAGACATTGAGACAGAAAGTGAGAAATCACCCCCCAGGGGGGATGGTCACCCCACAATCCCTTCTCCTCCATTCTCCTCTCGGGATCTTGGACATGCACGCACATGCAGCAGGTGTGATTTTTAAGCCACCGGGTCCGGGATGCGAACTGCGGTCGACTACGTGGGAGTCCAGCGACATAGCCATTACGCTAACTGCTGGTTCCCTAGATTCACATCTTTAATGTAGGTTAATTTTGTCAACTTTCGATCCCTAAGCCTTTTTTCAAATGAAATCTACAAAATTCTTATGTTCACATTTGAATAAATTAAATGCTTTGGTTTAAGGAGCTTCGTGCCTGTCCTTTACTCTGTCTTAGGACCCCTGTTACCTTCTCACATACCTTCAAAGAACAACTTTGGCTCCATGAAAAACTGTTTAAGAACCATGTAAGTTGGGACTAGCAGATGGCATATTGGCTACGTCTCTTGACTCCCATGTAGTCAACTCACACCAGGCGCATGCACATCCATGCCCAAGATCCTGAGAGGAGAATGGAGGAGAAGGGATTGCACCATGGCCATCCCCCTTGGGGAGGGGGGTGATTTCTCACTTTCTGTCTGTCTCTTGCTGTCTTTCTGGTGAGTGCATGCACCCTATAGCAAAAACATCTCCAAAAAAATAAATAAATAAAAATAAAAGAACCTTGTAAGTTTAGCAAAGTTTGTGTGCCAAGGGACCATTTGAATGTCTTGTGAATGTCTTATCTGTCATTTATTGGGTCACTGGAAAAGTCATGATGCATTTTTGCACCTAAAAAACATGTCATGACTTTTCCAAAGACCCAATATGCATATAGCTAGACGATATAACATGTGAATAAGAATGTATATCAGGGCCGGCAGGTGGCATGGTGGTTAGGGGCACTGGACTACCACATGGTCAATCACAGTTCAAGTCCCAGACCTGGTGGCTTGCTTTCTCACTACCCTCTCCTCTCCCCTTACTCTGTCTCTCTCTGGTCAAATTAAAAATAAATAAAGTTAAATAAAATAACTCTTTCAAAAAAAGAAATGTATATCATAGAATCAATATGTTGTATGTCACCATCTAAAATTAATCTAGAAAATAAATCTTAGCTGTTCTTTCAGAGGCACAGAAGTTGGAGTGCATTAAGAGTGACACTAACAAGTCTTTGAATGAGTTAATTCATTTTTTTAAAAAATGCAGATTCCAAAGAATGAAAAAGAGCACTACAAGACCCTCAAAATATTCTTATAGTTGGCTTTGAATTTGTGAATTTTTCAGAAATTAAATTGATCTACATTTTTAAAAAGAACTACTTATTTAATTTTATTTGTTATTACTATTTTAATTTCCTATAGGACATGAGGACTTGAGAGGGAGAAAGAGACTCCAGGTTCAGGACTGAAACCATGGTCGACCATGTGGGAGTCCAGTATCTCCAGTATCTTAACCACTATGCCACCTGCTGATCCTACCATCTGCATTTTTAATAAAACAAAGAACTAGACATGTGAACTGAACAATTCTTAATTTTTTAATTTATCTTTTACCAACTACATTTATCTTGTAATCTATGTAAATCTTTGTTGCGAAGTTTTGTGTTTTTTTTTTTCCTTAAAAATGAAGCATGTTGACTGTGCCTAATGCACATTTTATCCTTAGGACTGTATTTCAATATTAAACCAGAGCTCAGAATGTTGATTCAAAGCAGAACAGCCATGAAAAGAGCTAGCAAGAAAATTAAAGTAGAATTTTCAGTTGATCTGGTCAAGTTTAGTGTGGTTAGTCTGTACACTGGCTATCTCAAAATAGTTGACATTTTCAGTCACAGTGATGTTAATGAATAGTTTAAAAGAACTTACCCTGTACCAGGCACATACTGCTAGGTGCTATACAGCTCTTCTGTTTAATGTTAACAACAATCCCATGAGGTGGGTTCTTTTTAAACTATTGAACAGATGAGAAAATTGAGACTTTCGAAGCCAAGGTTGCACAGCAACTCAATGGTATGGCTGAGTTTCCAGCTCAGCTCTTTCTGATTTCAGAGTCAAACACTTGCTCCTCTACACTGTCTCTAATTTTACTTTATTTTTAGATGAAAAATGTTACAGAGTAAAAGCAATTTTTCATTGTTACAGGAATAAAGTGGGTCATTATGCCTGAGATACATGGCAACAATGTATTTTACCCATTAAAATATTAAGTGCATTTTCATTTATTTACTGTAACAGTTTTCTTATCTCAGGAAGCAAAAAAGAAGAAAATGGAGTTAGAATATTGAGTTAAGAACACGTGATTGTGTGACAATAATCATATTTTAAAATGAGGAAAAAACCCACTCCCTGTGTATTTCATAGAGATATTATAGGGATGGAATGTGATAGTTATCTCAGTGAGTTTTTTATGGGCATCCTATGAGGGAAAATGCTTGTGTATTACAATAGTATCTTCATTACTTTTATGGTCATCTTCCAGCCTAGGATAATGGTGGGCAAAAAATTTTTTGCTAGACTGTCTTCACTGGCAATAATGAACATCAGAAAGTCTAAAATGTGAGTGTGTATGTCTCAGAGACATGGATAGAACATGCACGACTTCTGATCTGAGTTTCAAAACTACTCTCATCAGAATGAACAAGAAAGAACCTATACCTCGTCTA